GCATGGAAAGTTCGACGTTTGCCCTAGGCCTAAGTCCGTCATATCAGTCATTATTTATCTCCTGGGGGAGGGCTTGGAGGATGTTTATTTCAGTATCATAAAGATTAACTGTTCACCCCCTCCTACTTGAGGCTATATTTTTCCATGTCTCCGCCTTCACTAATGGTTGCTAGTCTCTCCGCTTTGATCTATATTGATGTTTATAAAATATTCGAAATAACGTACACGCTGATTGGCTGGCTAAAGTGTTTAGTATCAGAGGGCAGAGACACGCTTGCGCAAAATCGTTTAAAAACATTTCATAAGAGCAATATAAAAGGCTGCTTATGTATCTGTACTGTGATATAAACACTTTGGGAGCTGTAAGGCGGATACACTATATTTATTGAATTTAAGGAATTTTTAACGCTGGGAGCTGTAGAGCAAGAGAGAAGCAAGTTAGGTTTGGGTTGTTTGGGCTCCCTGTGGCTGTGATCCAGACTTCTTCGGTCTCGTTATCACAGGCAACCCATGCGTGTAAACTGCCTGATCTCTCAGGTTGATCAATAATGGCGGCCTTCATAGGCAATCTGTTTTGTCGAATTAGTAGTTTATATGGAGTCAAAGTCGGTTCTGTTCAAGCCTTGTTCAACGGAAGAACGTTGATTAGGTTTATCAGGGCCACGCCAGTGATAAAAGGTAAAAACCATACGTTTGATTTACCCAGCTAGAAAGGAGTCATTGGGTCTTGTCTTCATAGCTAGTACAAGTAGCTAAACTAACTTAGATTGATAAGGATTGATAGCAGGTTATTAATGAAAAAAATACATAATGTATCAATGCAAAAAGATAGAAGAATGACGTGTTATATATCATAATAACTGTAGGTGGTGGACCAACTCAAGTACTGATGCCAGCACTATCACCAACCATGGAAGAAGGTACTATAGTTACATGGTTAAAGGAAGAAGGAGATCCTATTAATCCTGGTGATGCTTTATGCGAGATARAAACAGACAAGGCAACCATTACTATGGATACAGAGGAAGAAGGCATTCTAGCAAAGATCTTAGTCCCTTCTGGCAGTGAAAAAGTGAAAGTCAATAACCCAATAGCACTGATAGTGGAAGAGGGAGAAGACCATACAAAAGTCAGTATTCCAATAAGTAGTGAAAGTAAGTATAAAAATATATTAAGTATTAAAGGACCATTCATTATATAGGGGGGGAGGGGTGTTAAAAGGTTTTTTCCTACAACACACTATTGGAATGGCCAATATTTCTGTAACCCTCTGTTTAATAGTACGCAGTGGTTATTTGTAACATTTTGAAGCCCCCTCCCCCCTCATATATTACTAATCAGTTATTTTAAGAATCCTCCTCCTCCTCCGATGAATGATGAATGGTCCTTAATTTGATAAGACTTTGACTTCAATTAATATTCTCACAACTAACTTGGTTCGTAATAATATGATCTTTTATGAGGATTACCAAGTGTTGGAGGAGAAGAAAACAACCAAATGCTAGAGGATGAAAACATGCAGAGTTCAACACTATCCTTGTCACCTGCTGTAAGGTTTCTGATAGATACAAACGGCCTTGATGCCAAACTCATTCCAGCATCTGGGCGTGGTGGCCGTATCCTCAAGGGTGACATCCTTATGTATTTGTCAAAAAGTGAAAGTATGACAAGTGATATTAAAGAGCAAACAAAAACAGCAGCTCAGGTGCCCATAGCTAGACAACAAGTACCTCCCATTATGGGTAAGGACCTTTCTTATACCAATTCTTATCAAGCATCAATATTATGGCAATTCATTTTTGTAGGATATTTATGTTAGACTCATGCAATTCATACTCATGCATAACCGCCACCCAGTTAGCTCAATTGGTAAGAGCGTCGGTCTATTGTGCGGAAGGTCGTGGTTCAAGCCTCGGCCGGACCAACACTCAGGGTCTCAAAATAACTGAGGAGAAGGTGCTGCCTTTGTAATTATATCTGCAAACGGTTAGACTTTCAAGTCTTTTCAGACAAGGACTTAAAACCGTAGGCCCTGTCTCCCAACCCTTCCTAACCTACAGTAAATGGGGGACACAAAAGAACCACTAAGGACGTAAAAAGAACCCCTGGCAGTGACCACCCTCCACTTCATACTAACCATCTCTCATGCTTGTGAATTGCATAATAAGCAAATCTGTCATTCACAACTCCGTGTAAGGCACCTTTGATTATATCCACATAGGAAAGGGCGCTATTTAAATCATAACCATCATCATCATCATCATCATCATCAACACTGAACTGTATCTTAAAGGAACAGCTGCAGGCAAACATGTATAATTAGAATTATTTTGCATTCACTAAATTATTATTATCTGGTAGCTCAATTATATTTTTATTGTTTATAGATAAACCAAAGCCAGTTTCCTCTGCTAAATCATCCATCCCGCACACCAGATACAGTGACATTCCAAACACTGTCATGCGGACCACCATTGCTAAGAGACTAACAGAATCAAAAATGACAATACCACATGTATATGCATCAGTAGAATGTGTGATGGATAACTTGCAGCTAGTGAGATCACATTTACAAGAAAAGAACATCAAGGTAGCAATACTAGTACCAGCAGAGGAACTTCTTTAACTCCCCTCTATTAACCTAACCTCTAACCCTAACCTCTATTATTAACTATGGTAATAGTTCTAATTATTTCATGACAACCCTGTTTGTTAACTTATCTCATCATCCCTATTCACCTACTTATTTATAGCTTAATTGAGAATCTTTTGTGATTTTGATCAAAAGGTTTCAGTGAATGATCTGATAGTGAAGATTGCTGGAGTGACAATGCGGCAAGTCCCAGAAATGAATGCTATATGGGATGGTAGAGAAACAAAGTTAATGGAAGAAATTGATATTGCCATTGATGTTGCAATTGATGGAGGTATTATAACCCCTGTTGTTAGAGATGCTGCCAACCTGGATGTATCACAGGTCTCATTGGTTCTCAAGGTAAATGTTGTGATTGTCAAACATATTTGTCAATTAATATTATTACAGTATGT